ATTTACATTTGGATGGGGAGAATCGCATCCCAAACATCCTGGCATTATTACTGAGTTCCAACAGAAGACTCTGCATTTTGACAGCGTCTTCACCAAACAGGACTATGTCATCTGCGTATTCTGAGTCGCTTAGTGGTCCCCCTGGTAGGAGATCAATTCCTGAAAATTCAGTCGCAGAGAGTGTTATTTCCAGCAATATGTCTGTAATGAAGTTAAACAAAAATGGGGATAGTGGACAGCCTTGACGGACACCACTTGAGGTTGTAAAATCATAAGACAGTTCGCCATAAGCTCTCACTCGACTGGTAGTGTTCGAGTAAAGAGCCTTCACAAGGTTTATGTACTTTGTTCCTGCAATAACTATCGGGGGATAAGTCTACTTTCGATTACGTCCAAACTATTGGCTTCTATCATTCTTCATAGGTTGTTTAAAACCCGAGAACGATTGACACGCGAGGAACAGGCTGGTTTTCGTTCTGGTCGAGGATGCATTGATCACATCTTCACCCTCCGCCAAATGTTAGAACACCGTCATACTTATCGCAGGCCGACAATCGTAGTGTTTCTTGATATCAGGGCGGCCTTCGATTCGTTGGACAGGACTGTTCTCTGGGATTGTCTATTGAAGAAGGGTGTGCCTGAGAAGTTCATTAGCATCTTAAAGGCTCTGTATACGAACACCTCAGGCAGAGTGAGGGCATACAACCACCTTTCTCCCTTGTTCCATTTGAGCAGTGAGGTTAGGCAGGGTTGCCCGACCTCACCATTCCTCTTCAACTTTGCTATCGACGACATCCTGGAAACAGCTCTGATGGATGTAAGTAATGGCGGTGTGGATATGTTGCCTGGAGAACGACTTCTGGACCTCGAGTATGCGGATGATATTGTCTTACTGTGCGATAATGCTCAAGCCATGCAATCCGCACTTAATCAGTTGGCAATCAGTGTCCGCAGGTACGGCATGTGCTTTGCACCCTCCAAGTGCAAAGTACTCCTACAAGACTGGCAGGATTCTCATCCTGTACTCACCCTGGATGGTGAGCAGATTGAAGTAGTTGAGAAGTTCGTGTATCTAGGTAGCTATATAAGTGCTGGTGGTGGCGTGAGTGATGAGATTGATGCACGTGTAATGAAAGCCAGAGCGGCTTATGCCAATCTGGGCCATCTTTGGCGCCTTCGTAATGTTACTCTGGCTGTAAATGGTCGGATCTACAACGCGTCGGTGAGAGCAGTTTTGCTCTATGCTTGTGAAACCTGGCCTCTCCGAGTTGAGGATGTTAGACGTCTCTCTGTGTTCGATCATCGTTGTCTTCGAAGGATTGCTGACATTCAGTGGCAACACCATGTTAGTAATGCAGAGGTTCGGCATCGTGTGTTCGGGCGCAGAGACGATAATTCAATTGGTGTCACCATCTTGAAACCCCGACTTCGGTGGCTTGAACATGTTTTACGAATGTCGTCCCAGAGACTTCCACGTCGTGCATTATTTGCCGACCCTGGGACTGGTTGGAAAAAGCGGAGAGGAGGTCAGTGTATGACACGGTGTCGTGGCATGAAAGAGAGCTGCAAAGGGCTAGCTTTTGTTGGTCCTTCACGACTCCCTGGTTGGGGTCCGAGAGATGGTGCAACACAGTGGCTAGAGACGTTATCAGATATGGTTCAGAATAGAAGCCAGTGGCGATCCTGCTGCAACCTTCTTTTACTTTCTACATAAAGAGTGGTTCTAACTTTCTTAACTGAAAGTCTTCTGGTTGTACATTTCAGTCCGGCTTATCTCTTCATCCCTTCTCTTCCTACTTTCATTATTTTGTGTGGTGCATATGTACCTGGTGCCCTTTTGTACCAATATATGTGTTTAAATAAATAAATAACATCAGAAAGATGTATCAATGGCGAAGACACTAGAACGTGTGAATCAGGTCTTATTCGTAAAGTGGTTGGAGGTAGTTGATAGGAAACCTTCGGACTAGATTTCGTGCTCTTGGATAAAAAGACAATCTCAGATCATAATACACTAGTAATGAGTAATTAGATTCAGTTAAATGAAGAAAGCTTTACCATACCGTTAGTTTTCTTAATCAAAAGCAGATGATCAATATGCATATTCGTGTTTTATTACATGATTAGTAACCGTAACTAAGAAAACATGTAAACTTAACACTTCGTATGGCATACCATATATATATATATATATATATATATATATATACAACAGGCAAATTCAAGTATAAGAATGAGCTCATTAGATATTGATGACCGATACACCTCCATGCCGCAACTATTAAAATGCTACAAGTGAGATGTGAAAGCAAAAATAAATCAGTTATTGAATAACGATGAAAAATAAAACTACGCTGAGATCCGAATGTATTAATCGCCCAAAATATTGGGTTATAATAACTTTTATTACCACTCTTCAAACTGTTACTATGGCAAAATATATCGGACTAGATTTAGTAAACCATAAATGTCATCTGTTGCTAACTTCTCTTATTGACTTTTCTTAGAAGCACTAAACTTTTCTGTACATTCCTCTAAGACTTTATTGAATATCAAGCCAATATGGTTGATAAAATTTTAAAAAATTAATGAAATAGTCAAGTCTCTGCTAAAAGTCGAAGTCACCACACCATACTGAAGAGCAATGCAATGAAATCACCAAGCTGAATACCAAAGTAGTTTGAGTGGTACTCAAAAAAAGTGAAACATGTGTAATGTTGACGGGGAAGAAACAACGAATTTGTGGATTAAAAAGTATAAAATAGATTGATGATTTGAGAGGGGATAAAAAGAGTAAATTTATTTAAGCCCCTGTGACCGATTCCGTGCCACCCAAACTCTTCAACCATTGGTCACAATAATTATATCTACTTAAACCAGGTAATATATACCTAGCTTAAACGGTTCAACCCAACAGGCGATGACTTAATGGACTAATGTCACATTTTTGCTTGACCAGATTTACAAAAAAAACTAAGAGAGCTTTCTGAATTCATATTGATGATGTTTGAGACTCCAACGCATCAGAGTTGGTGAAACTTGCAAGACAAGTATAGTACTCGGCGAGCTCAAGTAATTCACTCCCCACGGTTAGTTAACGAACTGACTGGTTAACCGAATAACTCGACAAGATGGGATTGGATAATAATAATAATAATAATAATAATAATAATAATAATAATAATAATAATAATACTGATAATATTATATTGTATATATATAATACCCAAATGATGAAACATTTTCTACGATAAAATGCATTGACTTTGATAGATCAATAGATAGACATACATACAGAAAAGGAAACATTAAGAAAATGCCATTGTAGGTTATAATTAAGGTCTTAACATTAAATTACAATGGCTTCTACAGCTTACAAGTAACATTTTTCCAGAGAATAGACATGAAAAGTTAACATTTGATTTAATTACGACTGACTATTAGCTAACTCATTCTACTTTTGGAAAGGAGAGTTACTTTAACTAAACATTTGATAACCGAGATACAAATATTTCATGTGATGTGTTCAGAAGATAACAAAGGTATATCTGTAAGCACTTAGACTCGTAAATTAGATTAAATTCAAATACAGTCCCACCTAAATTACAGTTTGGACAATAAGGTAGTGTATCGTAATTCGCCTTCAATCAAAGTATGGATCAATGTCAAGTACACAGGATCTGTATACTTCACTATTGAGATATCACAAAATCCTTGACAAATAAACCTATCCTTCTAAGTCGATGATAATTTTTTTACTCTAATATACAAACATTATAGATGAACAAAAAGCAACAAACAACTGTTTGTGACAGAACACCAGGGAAATAATTTAATTGATTATAACAAGCTCTAAGGACTAAAATAAGATAACCCGTTAAGTCCATTCGAGATAACAATTGACGAATTCTAGTTTACAAAGAAACGCGTTAAATTTATGATGGTATGTGCTTGAATGTAAGAATTACCTAACAACCTGATGAATTATGATATGTATTATATACGTAGTATGAAATGACTAATAAACAGAGTATACTTGATTCCACTGAATTCTCATTAGAAACATTGAGAAATTCATTTAAACCTCAAAGTTCTTAAGTGAGAACATACGATAATTTCAACACATTATTTTACGCAAAAACACTTTGCACATATGTGAATGAGTTGTAAATGTAGATATCAGTCATTCAATCAAACGCGACGTAGAACCAGGAACACGTATACTAGCATGTGTGCCGAACCCCGTTAGTACAGTGAGATCAATTAGTTAAAACAAATCCAAGAGTGATACAGGTAGTAACAGTATAAACAGTACTGGGGAAGATAAGCCATTTAAGATACAGTTCGGGAAAAGATGAACTAGTGAAATAACAAAAAAAATTATGAGGAATTTAAAACTTAGGACATAAGGGAAAGAAAAGAATGAGTATACTTGCACCGTCACGAACGATCTTGAGCCGTGTCATTCAAAGTCCCTAACTGCTGACTACAGTGTTCATGTGAACCCCAACCAGGCAGTTTGCACTTGCTCATATGGCTCAGTCTGACAGATGAACCATTTGGATGCTAAATAAGTAGTCTGATGGTTAAGTTCTTGCCGTGAGAAGTCTGGAGGTCCTATAGGTTTGACATTCAATATAAAGCCATGTTCATGGTCACTGACTATAAGTTTCATTCTAAAGCGAAACAATTATCCGGTGTTTTCTGCTCTTTTTTTATCTGATTGCCTAGTTAGTGTAAATCCGAGAGGTAAACTACAAAAACATGAGTTACATGAGGGATCAGTTAGTCAGCAAGTAATATACAGTAACGATAAGAGATTCATAAATACAAACAATTATTTTGACATTCATTGGGAAAACTACAAAACAAAAGACTAAACGATAATTATAAAAATCAATAAAAAAGCAGTGATAAAATCTGATCAAAGTTTCTTATAAACAAAACTAGATATCATAGTAGTTAGTTCATGTAAACAAACAGTAACAATCAATACCTACCAGGATTGATTGAATCCAATACAGAATTTGGTAGCTGTCGTCCTAATGAACCGGATTCTCCACTGATTGAACCATCTGGATTTTCAAAAAGGCTAACTGAATCTCCAATACCGCCACCAGTTGTATGAGACAAGAGGTTATCAGTGTTACCCTATAAAAATGAATGGATGCACATACATACATACATATGTATAAGGGTTTCAAATAATAAACATAGAAAATACCCGATATGATAATAAAAATTGTGTGAATAATGCTAAAGCTCTCCTTCAAATATTGTGAGGTAAAAGAATATATTTGATATTAACACTTACTAATAATGATTTGAATATCGCATCCATTAAAAATGAGATATTGACTATCCAAACTTACTAGTTCAGTGGACAATGGCGTTGGCATTTAAAGTAAAAGGTACTGGGTCTATGTTCGAGAATAAATATTAACACTGAGATGCAAATAAACCGACGAGCTTAGTGTTTTTGACTTTAGGGAGGCCATGAAGAAGACCAACTGGGAACTAGAGATCACCATGGGCTGACCGAATCTCAGCCTCGGAGCAAGACATTCCACCCTTATCGCGTATACTCATGTTTATCAAACAAAATGATAGCCAAGAAACGTAGACATCTCTATCAACCCAAATAGTAATGGCTTTGAAAGAAAAAATTGAAAGGTGAATCAAACAAAAGTGAGATTAACCAGTTCTGACTTGTTTATACTCTGATCAGGCTAAAATAGGGATACATTGATTAGCCCATTTTCAACTAGAGTGTTAGCAAACGGATCAAGATGTTAAAATATTCTTAAACAAATTAAATGTTAACTCAAGTGTCTTTACTAACATATCTTTGTTGTTTGTATTATTCGAATATGTATAATGTTTGGTCTCGATTTTTGTTCTGATTTGGGAAAGAATCGAGTGAATTATCACGGTCATGCAATGCTAACCAGTAGGAGGATATAATAATTAATTACAGATGAAGTTGAAAGACAGTTGAAGTGATATTACTGACTGCGTAAGAAATACAAACCAGAAGACAGTTTTCACCAGACGTATATGCATTACTCATAATGACAACGTGAATTTTTATGGTTAAAATTGAGCCTATTACACACTCACAAAGAATGAGAAACCTGTAATAATCATATGTTACATACGATTGAAGTTCGCAGAGTATAAACAATAGTTTCGGAAGTTATTGGCTTTAGTTTTTGCACCGAAGCTTTATTAACAAATACAACAGAGTATTAAGTTAAAAAATACGCAAATTTAAAATAACTGATTAGTTTTTGATAAAACACTGCTTACAGAATTTTGTGCTGCGTTTGAAACATCGCAATGCTGTTCAGATCCATGAATTGTAGACTGTGAATAGTTACTACCACTGCCACCGCTAACACAGTTATTATTATTATTCCAGGATCCATTTGTCGATACAGATATTGAAGATTGTAAACTTAACTCTGATGCATGACAAGATAAACCAGTACTGTTAGAATATTCCAATCCATTTCCCATAGTGGTAGAATTAGTTGAATATTTCGTTGATCGTATTGTACACCGTGAATCGGATCGATTACCACTACCAAACGATGTGGAATATTTACGATCGCATAGAACATTAGAAGTAACAAGACCAACTGCATAATCAATTGCTTCTTCTATATCACTAGGTATTTGATTTGGATCGTATAAACTGTGTGTGATAGCTTGAATAGATTCTTCAAACAAACTGACGTCACCAAATATGGCTAACTTTGAGTCCTTGAATAGGAAAATAGATTAAAATTTTCTTAGAGAAAATGGTGAAATTGATAAATTAACCAAGTGTATAGACATATCACACGTCCGTATTCGCAAACTATTTCAATGCCAAACAGGTGAGGAATCACAAATAAACATACTGCTGGAGAACTTCGATTACGCACTTAGCCCTAGGTTTCAGCCTGAATACTCATATCTAGGTCGACAGGTTAACAGTATATACACCTATGACTTATGTTTATTAATGGTCGGTTTGGCATATTAAAGCTGACAAGTTATTTAATAGTGTTCTCACCAGCATAACTGGACAAAAGTGTGTATTATATTCGAGCATCGTGAATTGTTACAAGAATGGAAGCCAACAGAAACTGCAGTGATAACACAAGATTTAAGATGAAACACAACAGTTTACAAATAGATTAGTTACGTAAAAATCAAAATAGAATTAAATACATGGTACGACCAAGGGTGAGGAGAATCCGCAATCCTCTCGAAATCCTTGTCCAAGCGTTTACAGACACTATGAGGAAAATCCTACTCATTGTCTTCTCGAGGCGGGAGTGTTGTTTACGAAAAAAACGATGAAAAGAGAACAAACAGAGCTGAAAATAAGTTGGTGGATATGGGGAGCAACAGATATTTGGTAGGATATAATTATCTATCTAATATACAAGTTTGTGTCAAAAGTTCACGATAACAGCTAGATGTGTATTACAAATAGCCTTTTCTGATAAACACGACAAAATTTACTATTTTACATGTTATGGATATTTGTGCACTATAAAAAACGAAGTTTATAGTCGGCATATTTCTTCTAGTATAGTATCATTAATTGGCAACTTATGCTACCATCAAATTGATATGAGTCATATTTCAAATTATGAATTCACGAAGTGAATTTTAGTTAACATTAAGTCTTTCATTTATAGGAAAATTCAATTAAAAATCTTCACAAAAACCTATAGTAACAATCATTAAACGCCTACTAGTGACTAGCTTTCAGATGTGATTCTTCAAGTTCTAGTGAAAAGGAGCAACCAATGGCGTTTAGCCATGTCAGGTGAGATAAATATCACTTAAATTAGATATGTAAGCTACTGGATCTCGACTTAATGGTTTGAAGTTTGTGTCAATAGTGAGTATTAAAGGTTCAGGGTCGAATCAAGTATGATGTCGTCAATGAATAATGTTCAGTTCTACAAGAAGATAAAACCGCTCCTTAGATTGTGATGGTCGTTTAGTCAAAATTAGTCTATAATGTAAAGCTCCAAATACAGTAAACTTAGATTTGTATTCTAAACTGAGCCATGTCACCCAGAGTTTCGAAACCAATGTTACGATAGTCGCGCAGACCCCAACCAAGTAGGCTGCATCTACCAACATGGCTCAGACCAGAAGTTAGCGACTTTATGGATTGATGCCGCGTTTTGGTTTGACCACTCCTAACTTTCTTCCAACCGTCTTCAACACTAGTCAGCATTGCGCGCCATAGTAATCAGTGGTTGGGCATGCGTAATACGTGGCTCAACAATTTCAGTCGATGTAAGTTCTTAATTATCTATTGTTGCTTTGTGAACTGACGAGAGAAAAGAACTTTGAGGTTAGCATCATTTATTATAATTTTAGCAACTAAAATAGATGTAATCACAAACGTTATATCGACAAGAAGACATAAGCTTGATTTTTAAATTTAAAGAGTCATCGGTTAACTTCCAACTGTTTTAGTTACAAAAACCAAACTAAACATTTGATTCTTCCCCTTAGATTTTTGGGCTTCTCAATCATACGTAATCACAATCTAGTGAGTTTAATTCAGAAGCTTTTTTCTCCATTTTTATTTCATGATTAAATTTAGTTACTTAGATCACAAATTATTAATGATTGGTTAAAATGTGTTACACTAATCTGATTGTCACATGTCTAAGGATGATTAGGTTAGTCAAACATTTTAATTCCTCAAGCTATCTCAATTAAGACAATAATCTTCAAATAACTGATTAGCACATATTGGTCGACTAAACTATAATTTTTTCTTAATGAGTTATATCATGGAAGAATTCATTAGACAAAGTAGGCTAAAAGTAAACCTTAATGAGATCTTCATACATCAAGGTCTTACAAATCTACATTTTTTTAAATTCAATGTACCACAAAAATAGTCAACCTAGTTTGCTTAAAACAGTAAAATTTGTGAAGAAATAGTGGAGGAAACATAGAATTATGTTCTAAATGTACCTGGAAGATTTAAAGCTTAATACTTAGTCAGTTAGTCATTAACGACATCGAATCTGGTACACGCACATTTTCATCAGCCTGAGTTACCACATTGCATTGGCTCGATGAGATGAAATTAATTAGTCGAGAAACAACTGAACGTGACACAATTCTCTATCTTTCTAGAGGTTTCTGAGAAACTCCTGTTCACAATGCTGACAGGAGTTTTCTGAGCCTTTAGACACTTTGATGACGGATATTTTCGGACCCCCCCCCCACAAACGTTCAGTACGTACGAATTTTATCTGTATTAAGCGAATCTCATTCTAAGGATTATTAAGACACGCACTAGTCACTTATACTATGACTACTTTGAAAATATAGAGACTGTCAACGTTTCACATGATGGATACTAATAGGCTTTGATTGGATTCTTAAATGATGATTACTAAAGGGATTAAAGGAATGCTTATTGGTTGGTAGTACGCAATAATACAATGTGGCCGTGTGATTGTTGTTCAAGACACAGTAATATTGACGTAAATTATCCATATGAACTGATAGTATGCCTGTGTACAAAATGTTAACATAGAAATAAATATGATTAGACGTCGATTAGAATCTAAGTGATTGAAAGTGAGATTTCGGCTGGGGATAAAATCTACGTTATCAAATCATTAAAGTGAATCTTAATTAGCAATCACGGTTATGTTTACGTTTACTTAGTCACTCAATTGTAGATATTTTGGAATAATTTCTATTGGAAGTATTATTATTAACTATTATTAATTTTCTTCCATCATGACTGAGTGCGCTACACTTAACACATCCGTAGCATAATGGAGTGATATTTTCGTTGATAGGTTGCTAGGTACAATGTCAAAATCGCAAACGAGAATGGAGTTTGACATCACCCAAGATTTCAAAGGTCATTCAAGTGTAGCTGTTCGGTTCAATTCTTACTCATCATATACGCAACTTAGTGGTTTGAGACGTCATCAAACACTGTTCATAGAATAGAGGAGAACACTGGTTCCACTGTTTTTCTATAGTATACTATTTATAGATAGTCGAATCAACACTAACTGAATTAAAATAACCTTGATTACTTCAGTATTCGATATATATATATATATATATATATAACACTATGTACAACTTTTGCTTTATGTGATTACTTTTCAATCTCATAATTCTTTGGAGCACTGTCCAGTTTGTATTTTGCTCAATCTTACCAAACATTTTGTCACAATATTTTTAAGAATCTATGTGAAAGGAAAATAATTCCATACAAAGTCAAACAATTTATCTAGGCTAACGTTAGATGAACCGATGGTTGAATGTGTCAGATTCTACATTGTGCATAATTGACCGACCGATTGATTGATTGATTAACTTTAGGCATGCATAAAAGCTATGGATTTCTTAATTCATTGAGAAATTTAAATAGGTGCGAAATACCCTCTTGGTTACTTGTACAATAAAAGTTGATAAAACAAACAAACAAACAAACATACATACATACATACACAAATGCACAGACAAAGTTAATTGAAGATAAAACGATACACCAAAAGAGAAACAGTTGGTGAAACACATTACTGAATAACTTTTCTTAATGTCTGTCAGTTTAATCCATGAAAGGTAACGAGGAGAATTGAAATACAGTCATCAAAATGATAAAACATGCCAGTTATATATATATATGCATATGTTAACAATAAACGTGCAACACGATAGATAGATATATATATATATGGTATAAATGAGATTAATTGGATCTGAATTTTGGATAAGCATTTCAAGTATTTATAATATGGTGCAAACTTTTCTAATATAAACAATATTTTGTTGTATTACAAGGAATACTGATTTGTGTTATTGATAAATGTCTGGACAGTAAACTTTTAAATATAACACATCTTGATTAGCTTTATTTTAATAATTAAACAAAACTTTATTATAGGACGAGAAGAGAAAAAATTAGGAAAGGTTAGGTAATTTGTATAATTGCGGATCAATTCTATGTAAATGTATGAATTAGTATTAGATGATTGAAACACACATTATATACAAGTTGTCGTTTGTCGCCAAGGTAATCTTAAGGAAATGGATGATTTCTGAAGGATTCGAAGTCGGATCACGCTACATCACAACACTGAAATATAGTGCACATAACATTGAATTACTCAGACTATTTGGCAAATAACTAGATCGACAAAATTCGGTCAGCACCAAGGACAAGACAAACATGATATTTGCCACTATTCATTGAGCATTCAATGTAAGTGCATAAACTAACTGAATGATAGTGTTAATATACAGGTACGATGACAAAATTAGTTGAAATAATCAGTAACAATCAACGTCGAATTTGGCACACATGTGCGTTACCACACCAAATATCAGCACGACAAAATAAAATTAACAAAATGAATGACAAAGAATTTGAAACAATTCAGTAGTAATAATTACTAGAATAACTAAAGTACTTCGTTCAATCGATGTCAATAGAAACTTAATAGAATTGTAGCAGACAAAAACGTGTATCATATCTTGAATGGATAATTGGCGAGAATTTTACCAATTTCACCATATTCACACCTTTCAGGATGTCAAAGTCATATACAAACCTACAAACAAACCTGTTTTTAGTATCTAAACTAACACTGGAAGTAAATCTTTTTTTAAAAAACCTTTCCGTTTTCTGCCCAGAGTTCAAATGCAAGAGATTACTCACGGCTAGAAAGTGATGAGAAAGTCAGTTTCAAGATTTTTTGGAACCTGAATAGAAGCGTTTAATTTTGTGCAGAAGATATATATTATAGTCTAAGGCAAAGTACAAATTTTTACACTAAGGCTACCCAATTGTACAAACCTAAGTAATCTTTCTTGACAGAGTCAACATACATATATGTAATATTATCCAATAATCAATATCAAAACACAGTAACCATTGCATCAACTTTAAATGCACGTGAAACTTAGTAGTAAATTGGAGAATGGCTAGGATTGGAATTCAAGAATTACATTTTGTCCTGTTTAGGATACGTAACCTAGATGTAACTGAATCCCAGTTTTAGTGCGCACATTGTAATCGTTTGCCTCAAAAACAAAGACGTTATCCAAAGAGCATGATGTATATATTATTATTAATAGAGAGTTGAATAATCCCGTTGTTGACATACAGGACTGAATTTTGATCATATCTTGTTGATATATATGCATCTTGAACGGACCTCCACGACATAACTATTTGGACTTAGCAACTCACTGATTAATGCCTTGAGGCCCTAAGTGAAAGGTACTAAGTTTGAACTGTGCTTTTAAAATCAACACTTGGATGCATGTATATCCACGTGACGAGTCTCAAACAGGACAAAATACATGCCCTGGATTCCATTGCCAGTCAATGTACCTTAAAAGAAAACGTCTGATTAGATTAGAATATGGAGACAATCCGATCACGATAAAGACTGATAAATTGCAGTCCAATACGGCAAATAGAATATACAAACCTACAGAAACACATCAAATTTAATTTCATAAATATTCCTGGGGTCTTTTTCACTAGCAATTAAAAACCATCCATTCAAGACCAAACTAGTTAGTTAAGAATCTAGACGAAAATGAATTGATAAAAGATTTTTTACAGACAGATGGATACATTATGCATATTTACGAATAGAAATTACAGAATTTGTACAATAAAAACCGTAAGAGTTAAAAATACAATTTCGCTATAAATACATGGATACATACATACTGTCTGATAACGACAAGCATATGTTTCGCCCACACTCACACTCTCTCTCTCGATCGCTCGCACATACACCACGTATTTACGCAAAAAAAGGAAAGAAGAAATAAGAAAAGTCTATTTTTTCGTAGAAAAAACCAATATGTTACTCTAATTTGTTTGTATTCCAACCAGCTTTGTGTATATATGCACATGATGAAAATATGTACGCATGCATGCATATACAATAATGATTAATAAAATCTATTTTTCCCTACATAGTTTAACAATAAAAAGTAAAAACTTTTTCAATACATGAATCATGGTTAAAAACCCAATTAAAACCAGATAGAGATTATAAGCAAAGATGGATAGTGACTAGCAGTGAAATCCAAATCGATGCGCGTTTCGTCCCATTTGGGACTCGTCAGCTGGATGTACCTGCATTTCAGAGTTGACGATCACTCTGGGACTTGAACCCAGTACCTTTCGCTTCAAAAAACATCGCGTTATCTACTCAGCTACTGAGTCCTGATAGCCAGTTGCTTGTGCAATGGGGTGAAGTTTAAATTCACTTAGTATTGTTTGTTTGAATCCTCCCATTGTTCTTTAGGACGGAAACTGGGTAGGATGAAACGCGAGTTCTAGATTCCACTGCTAGACACCATTTATCTTTGCTTATAACGCTTGTGAATTTAGGCTATATCGAGGCAATACGCACAGTATGCATATATGGCAAATAATAGACTGACCAGTTGCAGCCCTAAACAACAATGGGAAGATTCAAGCAAACAATATTAAGTGAATTCAGATAGAGATTGTTTTCAATGTGAAATGTTGAAACTCTAAAATTCAGTGATAAAATGAACTATTTTCTTTTATCTTTCTTACATATCAGTTTTTATAAGAAAAAGAAGTTAATTAACTGTCTATGAAAATAGGATCTTTTACTAAATTCTAGTAAACATCAAAAGAAAGAAAAACGATTCGATATATTTTTATCAATTACAAATTGATAAGCTCTTTGAGTAGTAGATTTATGTATATTATATATAGTTAAAGTAATGAGTCAATTGAAGCAAGAAGACCACCATGGAAAACTTGGAAGCACTGAACGACCGTTTCGTCCTATTGTGGGAATCCTCATGATAAATAAAAAGTTACTAAAAATCTCCACAAAAAAACCCCTTATGTATATTACCCAATTCAATCACAAAATGAACAGTTTTTTTAATATATCTACTTTACGGCTGTGAAACATGGCCATTAAGAGTAGAAGATACCCGTAAGTTACTATTATTTAACCACAGATGCCTTAGAAATATTGCTCTCATCTGCTGGGACCACCGAGTATTTAATAGTGAGGTTAGACACAGGGTATTAAAGAATGATGGTAAATCAGTTGATGAGGTGATGAATCTTCATCGACTGAGATGGTTAGGCCACGTGTTACGTATGCCTGAATACCGATTACCACGACGCGCCATGCTGACTAGTATTGGCGATGGTTTGAAGAGAGTTAGGGGCGGCCAAAACAAAACGTGGCATCAGTGCTTGAAATCACTAACTTCTAGTCTGTGCCATGTTGGCAGATGCAGACTACCTGGTTGGGGTCCGCGTGACTATCGTAACCAATGGTTGGAGACTCTAGGTGACATGGCTCAGAATCGATCACAATGGCGTAGGTGTATACACTCTTTATCTTCCCTTAAACCTTAAGATTAAAATTGCTTCATAACGTTCTTCCTTTCTGTACTATATCCTTATATACAACCTTTCTTTCATATATTACCACCACTAAATTAACTACTTCTATGAATCCGGTGTTGATCTTGTTGTGCTAACGAGGTATTGCAACTTGGACCGATGCAAAAATGTGCCTGGTCCTACGTTGTAACTGACTGACTGACTGAGACAAACGAATTAAATCAGTTAATCATACGTAGTATAGAATCTTATACGTATTTGCAGCAATCGAAATTATTTGGACAAATGCAAGAGCATTAAAAGTAGCAATAGTATAAGAATTAATGGAAAGGACTAGGTATAGACCGTATGATCGAAGAATAAAGGAGTTCATGTAATAATTATAACATTTATTTGTAATGAAGCCTATCTTGGTTAATAGCAACGTAGAACCTGGCACAAATGTGCATCGGTTCAAGTTGCTACATTGTGTCAATTCAATAAGATGGAATTATTAGGACAGGTGCCATAGTAGTAAAAATAGTAATAATATCAATGTTAGCACAAAAGATTAGGTTTAGAAAATATAACATGGCAACATAAGTCAATACATATCTGTGCCAGAGTTCTACATCGATGATGACAAGATTTTCGAAATAAGAATGCATTTGTACACGAAAATTATACGATAATTTTAACACTCATGATTTAAAAGAAGAAAGAGTCTTTCCATCAGTGTCACTGCAACCGATTCTGAGTTATGTCATCTAACGTTCCCAAGTGATCTCCAACTAGACAGTCTGTATGTACCAATACGACTCGAATCAACAATAAATTTTGGAATATCCTAAAATAAATGAGCTGAGTTAACAAATTGAAACTAACAGTATTTTTGGACCGCAAAATTATGAGAAAGTCGACTGTTTCAATAGCAGAACACTAATAGAAAAAAACAATTTTTAAAGTTATTCCCTGACAAAATCCTATATACTGACGAAAATTCCTTAAGATAACGACGAAACCATTGATATCCAAGGTATTAAACTGAGACAGACATGATAAATGAATAAGCAGTGGTAAGCTAATTCACCAGGTGCTTGAGTATGGGCCATACTCTAATCGTGACGGTTAACGAAGACTACCCAGTTACTCAAACTGAAGTAGGTAAAGCGGGGTTCGAACCTGATATTAGTGGCTGAAAGTTGAATGATTTAATCAATAAGCTACCACTTTGTATATCCTTTAGTAGCTGAATGGTCAAAACATCTAATTTTTAAGAAATACCTAACAGGTTCGAATCCGTTACAACTGTTACGTTCTAAACCGCTAGATAATATAGTATCCTAGCCGTCGTACAAAACGTACCCCTGAGGGTTTAACACAAGAATATTTATTTAGTAAAGCTAAGTTACAGTATATTTCTAATGCTTTTCCATTAAATACATCTGTTTTAGAAAAAATTACTACATTGCTTACAACAATCACACAGTCAAATGACTTCAAATAAGAAAAAGACAAGTTCCGTGACATTTCAATAAAATGATGTAACTCACCAAAACTGGTTTTAAACAAGTAAGCAATTCAGCAAATCGTCTACGTTCTTCAACAACTGCTCTTCGTAAACTAACACGTTCCAATTCTGCTAAAGTTTGCTGTTTTAAAATTAGATCATGTTGAACAAAATTTAAGTGCATATTATCACCAGAATGAAGAACAGTATTATGATTTGAATCTATAGATTGCATTGTGGAAAATGCGTAAATCTCATTATGCGAATTGGAATCCCCACCTCCATTAGTAGCCCCAACAGTACAACTGGATGCTGAGCTTCCCTATAGAAGTAAAAACATGTGAAATGAAATAATTGAACCAATGTGTTACATTACTGCATGCTAAATAATTGCATAGAACTTATTTACCAGCTATAGATTATTTTTCTTAGCTTTAAGTCATACTCTAAGCGTAGGAGCTAGTGATACTAGCCACTTTCTCAATCCGAAATAGGTTGGGCAAGATTAGAATTAGAGATTGAAAAAAAAATGTCTTAGACACTAATACACCGCTCCACTAGATGCATAGAAACGAATATGAAATGTAATCTACCAAAATTGAAGCAATATTATCAGATCTAGTTTCTTTTAAGAGGAATCTATATGGATATGGATTACGAACTCGAGAAAGTAATATTCATTCTCATCCACGCTTGCTAGAAACACAGTAATGGATACTGGCGAAACTGTTTTTCCGTATCTTCATTTTATACTTTGCTTTCATTCCTGCTACTGACCACGTTCGCTTTCTCGTACACTATCCCTTCAACTTCTTTCGTTTAGCAACCAGGGTAAATTCGCAGACTACATTCCACATCATATTCATCTGCCCAAACTGAAGTCAACTTAGATAATAGAGATTATACGCTGTCAACATTGTTATCATCCATATTCTGAAAAGGTAAACAAATAGTCTAACCCAAAACATAATCACAGGTGACCTTATAATGAGCTAACAAAGACTAAAAAATACGATAAAAAATATATTCCCATATCGTTGAGAGGTAGTCTACTGGTTAAAGCACTCGGTCTCCAACCAGTAGGTTTCAAGATCAAAATTTATTCTATCTACTAGGATTTCGGTAAGTGGATAATATCACTAGCCTTGAAGTAAACAATGTTTCAGAGCAAATTACGTAAAACCTGTAATTGGTAAACAAGTTAGGTTTGTATTAAGTTATTGAACTTAGGAAGTCACTAGTAAGGTAAATATTTCTTTAAATTATATTTCAGAATCACAGATGAAACAGCAATATTATAAGTGGAAAAATTGAGAAAGGCAGAAACGTAGTCAACATAATAATGAAACAGAATACAGATAAAAATGAGATGATGGAACAATACAGAAGGCTTGGATCTGGACTGAACACATGATGATGTGTCACGTTCTGGACAATATGATCAGTCCCTACTTATAAGTGGGCGTCCCCCATACTTATACATACATGAATAAAGACTAGCAATTAAACGACAATGTCATCACTTCAAACAACGCAACAGACAACTACATACATGAATTCGACAAGAGGAATGTCATAAGTGTAAATCAAAAAAGGTTTAAGAATCCCTGACTGCTCTGTCAGGGTGCGCATGATAACTGTGATCAGTGATTAGAGAGCTTGGGTGAAACGGCTCGAAAACAGCTGCAGTAGCCCACATGAATTCACTCTTTAGTTTTCACTAGATGTTGACATTCCATATTCTAATATGATTGAATGACTAATCCCAGGGAATGTACAGAAGAAGAGAATTTTAGTCTGCAATCAACAAAATACTAACACAGATTCGATTTATCAAATCATGGGGTAAAGGTCAGAGGTCAACTTAACAGAATCTTTGAAGGCAAACAATAACATAGAATGTTATCAAAACGAATCAATTTGCCGATTGTTGGAATAATTCAAAATAGTCCACTTCCGACTGAAACAATAATAACAACATAAAATGATGAGATAATACAAAGTCACTGAAAACATGTAAGTTCATTTAACCTGAAGGCTATGAAATAAATAATAGAAGTTAACAAAATATGACACGAGATCCAAAACTCCAGATATAAATGCCTAAATACTACTCTTACAAATACAATTTATGTTGATAGAATATAAACTGTGGAAAAACCCTCATCGATGACCTAATAGATAACAACGTGAAGCTTATGTAATAAATGAAGTAAGACATGAATGTTAAGTGTGACTTATCATATATCTCTCACATCTTATACATACCTGCAAACATAGTTCAATAGTACAATATATTTTGACGCCCCTCTTCCTAATAGAGATTCTTTTTATACCAATAACTTGGAAACAAACTGAAAATCTGACGAATCATACCCAAGGTCATATCCATCAGATATGACAGAGATTTTTACAATGTTGCTAAAGTGCTACTACATATTTTATCGTCGTAGTTTACGTTAGTAACAGTCTACAAAAACCAGTAGGTAAAACCAATTATTTGATTATGAAAACACATGGAAGTTGTTGAAATTTAATCTTTACATTAATAAGCGTTTTTAATTCGTCATCATTGAAATTTTCGCTTCTATATACCCGTTAAATAAGTTAGAAAGTAACTGGACTAAGTTGCTCATTGGATACTAAGTTGATGTTTGAACCAAAAGGTATTGGGATGAAATCTCAATGTGAACATTAACACACCGGAAAGAAGGTGCATCCAACAGACGAATAACAAATAGAATGAAACGAACAGCCTAAGTTTCACAACCAGTATTGGTAGGTGAAGTAGAATTTGAACCTGTGACCTACTTAGTTGAAATATCAGGTAGTTTAAACACTAAGTCATTATCACTATCTCTCTCTCGTTTACCAAAATCTAAACTAATTTAATTACAACAACAAAATCTTTATAGAATAGGTAGATCACTTATTTACTTTATTAACAAGGAACTGGATTATTTAAAATTAAGAACAATTTTTCTAAATGATTCTACCCCCCACTTAATAATATAATTATACGCAATTACACATGAACATAACGTTTTTACGTTATGAGTCCATTCACAAACTGTTACACTTATAATAGATACACAGAAAAAACTGACTATTACCTACAACGAATAAATAATTGTTTTTTTTAGGAAATGAAAGTAAACAAAATTGATTGATATAGAGTAAAGTAAATAAAAAACAACAAACGTCAACAATCAGCACCACATGATCAAAATTGAAAACGAGAAGAGAAAAAAATTGGATGATTGTATTCCTTCTTCATGAAGAACGGTACGAAACAAAAGAAAGAAATAAAAAAAAGAGGAAACAATCACCCAATCAGTTAGAAACTTTTCGAGATAATCGTACTTATTTAAAAGATAAACACGAAAACAATAAAAGGAAATCATCTGATCGTAGCTGTATATCGTGATGGTTCGATTGAGAAGTATTGGCTAGAAATGCTTATCTAGGTTTAACCATTCAAAATAGATTGATTTAAGAGATATAAAACTTGATGTCCGAAGGAGAAGTCGTGCTGATGACTGTTCTCTGTGTGCGATGATAGTAAGTTGCTCACTTCAGACTATTAACACTTCAGGAGATTTTGGTTTCTTACAAACGAAAGAGGAGATTAAAAGAGATCATCCCTAACAATAATAAACTACTAGTCTAGTTTCCTTTTTAAGTAACTCAAGAAGAATTCTCTCGCTTTGTTGAAAAACACAAAGTAACAACGAATCTCAAAATTCTAACACCATTCGAGATGTTTTAAACAATGGGACAAAATTTGCTTTTAAAACAATTCAACATTTGATATTATATTAGAGCACTGGAGTCCAAGAAACACTAATCAACTGGCACGTCAATAACAATTTTGAAAGCCAGTAGATTTAATAAAAGTCAGTCGAGGCACAAATTGGTTATTACCATATTGTGCTATGCCGACTTTTCTTATAATACGCTTACTAGAGGAATGGTAAATTTAGAGCCCAGAAATTATATCTCATGAAATCCAATATCGATTCATTGGAGAACAATGAACTCATGAGACAACAGTTGCTAAAAAAACTCAACTAAAAAAGAATTATGTAAAACTGACAAGGCAATTCTTGGACTTTCAGAAACTAATCAATAATGTTCATAACTTCGAGTCACTTAGAACAATTGCCACATTGCAATCTGATCAATAAAATTCGATCATTAAACAACAAAACAATAAAGATGAAAATTACTTATTATTCAGTCACAAATCAATCCCATTGAAATTACTAACCGACCAAATTTGGATAACCATTGAAAACCTTGTATAACATTGAACTCCGCTTTAATTTTCTAGAAGTTAGTTGTTTGCATACGCAACCGAACGTCCTAAGTTCGATTACCACTAGTGGAGGGTTGTGGATTTCTATACTAGAACTGAAAGGCCATCTAGTGCTTCTAGGTTTCTAATGGTGGTCTCACTTTGATCGGTCAGTGATTTCAATGAAATTCAATAATCACTACAACCGTGTACCAACAATTAATCAATTGTTAGCGTCTTAGTCCTATTGGAGATTAGTTGCAGCCTGAATAGCTCAGTGTTAAGGTATCAAACTGCGAGACGCGGACTCAAGTCCTAAAGAGATTACTGATTCAGGTATACCTTGAGGACAAGTCCTGACGGATACGAGTAGCATGTTAAGTGGGATTTCCTGCTCACTACCTTCAACTACCTAATATCTAAATCGGTAGTCATATCTTGTACATATCAGGAAAATAAAGATTTTAATTAAGATGAAAAAACAAAGCGAAACAAAAGAATCCATCTTCACATCAAAGACGAGTGTGCATAAAAAAGTAGATATGAAATTCCACTGTAAATAATATCAAGAGGTTAGCCCAGTGAATTGGATATTGCTGAGTTTCAGCTAAGTTCATGATCCGATCATTTTTAAACTACAATTGAAAACCTGGAAGCACTGGATGGCCGTTTTGTCCTGGTATGATGATTTTCGGAGTTCTAATGAGAAGCCGTGATCAGTGGAGTTCAATTATGTCAGGTATGAGGCAGTTATTTGACCGAAGATGATGGAGAATGGTTGCGCAATATGGTGGGTTGCTTGAAGTTAGACATTAACAACATTGGAAGCCGACTCAGTGATGTAGCGCGAGCTTGAAGGTCCTAGGTATGAGTCCCGCGTACGTGATCATGACGTGAACAGCTGAGGATTCCCATGCTAAGACGAAACGGTCGTCTAGTACTTCCAGGTTTTCAATGCTAGTCTAACATTGATCAGTTTGTGAACTCAATTAAAATTTTTGGGATTGATATTTTGTTCGAATAAT